TCGTGGTGAAAAGAGCAGTAAGACGCTGTCTGCAGCGTGCTACTTGGTGCTTGAAGTGGGACACTGTTACGTGACACAGCCAAGCCCTTTTTCCACTAAGAATGGTCAAGCTCCTGTGGGGTGTCTGAGATGACTGGCTGCTGGCACAGTGCTCCTGCAGGCTGGGGTGTAAGCTGAGCTCTCAGGATAGCTTGCCAGCAGCCAGATGACATGAACTTCTGGCATCCACAGCTTGCAGTAGCAGAGTCCCATAATTTAGTAGCACATCATGTGAAGAGGTACTTCTTTTTTCTAGTTTTGAACCAGACACCTGCTGATTTTCTTCCACTTCTCTTTTCTTTCCTATCCAGCTCTTGTGCTATAAAAGACACTGAAAATTTGTTCTCTGTTCATCTTCACTAAAGACTCATCATTTTAATACACCTTAGTTATGTTCAGGTGCAGTCCTTCTTTTTCCATGTACTTTAAGTTTATACAAAATGTCCTGCTTGGTCAGACCAGTGGTGCATTTAGCTCAAGATTATTTTTTCTAGCAAATAACAAATGAAATGTTAGTCAGGTAACACTCACAAGTCTGTCTATTTTCTAAGGTCCATTTCCTTATCTTTCCCCAGTGTCTACAGTTATTGTGTTAAAATGTTAGAGGTTACAAAACCCTGTGCCTTTTAGTATCTGTTTATAGACCTCTTGTTCATTAATTTATCTAACCCTATTTTAAATCAGCTGATAAATATTTGCCTTCATAATCTCCTTGGGTGACAGGATACAGATGTTGGTAACCCAGTGGCTGAAGAACCACCTTCTTGATGTGTTTTAAACCAATCTAGGATATGTTGTGTTGAAAGATTTAGTAATTAACTTCCTTACTCACCCCCTTCATCCTTTTGAAGCTTCAGTTGTATTTCTTCTGAGCCATCTCCTCTCCAAACTGAAGAGTCCTAGCTCTTTGAGTTTCCAGTCTTCCGACAGCGGCTCCAACCCCACAATTATTTCCAGTTACTCTTCTCTAACTCCACTGCATTCTTCTGGAGACTTGCAGACCACTTCTTCACACAGCCCTTCATGTATCAATACACCACAAGTTTCTGTAGCAGCCACATGACCTCCTCTGATTTGCTCCCAGCACACATGGAGATGACCACCATCTGGGTTGGCACTTCTTGTACGCTCCACACATGGAGCTGTTGGCTTTTGCAGAACTGTCAGTAATGACACTAGGACCTCTTCCTGGACTTGTACCTGGCTATCTAGGGCTCAGCCTCTTGCTGGCATTGTTGAGATAATTGGTCCCTGGATGCATCATATCTTTGCTTTGCTGTGTACCTGCCCTGGGCAATCTCTTATTCCTTGTCAGGTTTAGAGGACCCAATTTCCATGCTCATGCACACTCCCCTCACATTACCTTGAAGACTCCTCTTAAGTCATTCTTTGTAGGAAAGCCATTTCTCTCTAGCCTTCAATCATTTCTGTTGTCCTTACTTTTTCTGCTATATCATTTTAGTGATGGGGGAAGTAGAACAGACCATAGTATTCAAAGTATGAACATCTGAAGACTTTAAATAATGCCATAATGATATTTTGTATGGTGCTCTCTATTTTAGTCATAGTAATGGCCAGCATTTGATTTGCTTTTTGACAGCTTCTAAGATGGAGTTGATATTTTCATAGACCTTTTATAACTCACGATCTCTTTCCTGAGTGGCAATAACTAGTTCAGAGCCCATGCTGAGTACAGTACGTAAAGTTGAGATTTCTTTTTCTCCTCATATTCTCAATATTGGATTTCATCTGTCTTTTTTATCACCTATTTGACACTCTGAGACTCTGCTGCATCTCTGTGCAGCCAACTTTCATTTTTATTTCCCTGAATACCTTAGGACCACTGAGGAAACTTGAAAGTTGTCTCCATTTTTTTAGATATGTGTAATGATCTAAATGTATTTTATATGTTAACCAGTTCTGGAAATGATTGCTGTGAAACTTGGCTAGTGATATACATGTTTGAGAAAGCTAAAAGCTTTGGTCATTTTTTTCCCCTCTTTTGTCTTTTAATGATTCTTTTATTATTATTATTATTATTATTATTATTATTATTATATAAGAGAAAGTGGATCTCTTATCATGATGTCTTTGTTTCTTTAAGGTCTTTAATGAGAAACATTTTCAATAATGTTTTAAAGTGTATAAACAAAGTTTCTCTTCACTGTATGCCTAGTGACTCCTTCAAAGGAACCTATCAGATATGTAAAGAATGGTTTCCCTCTGTAAAATTAATTTCCCTGGTACTTCCTATCTATGTCTATTAAATCTATTCTGTGCTATAATTTCTGGAATTATAAACTAGTATTGTGATTGGACATACTGTTTTTTAATTCTAGTAGAGTTATCTGAAAAATAGTTCTTGCACTTGGTACTTTTCATCCATCCGATGGTAAAACAGTTTATCACAGAGGCTGTAGTACTTACTGGGGGTTTTGATGTATTTTGTCCTTGAAATATGTATCATAAAACTATTTCATGTTTATCTGTATATTTTTGATTCATATATACTATTGGTAGCCCTGATTTGACTTTATATTTATGTTCCAGTCAAGAATGACCTTATGAGAAGATCAGCATAGCTGTATTTATAAAACTGGAAAGAAAAAAAGGCACCAGAATGATTGCAAAGTGACAGAATTCCTAAATCTGAAATATTTTTTTCTGTTTCTAAAAACAAAAACAAAACAAAACAAACAACTCATTGCTTCTGCTGAATTTGTAGGGACGAAATCTGGTGCTTAAACGCAGTCCATGTGAAATGTTTGACAGTGGCTAGAACCACCAGCTTGGGCTGGTAGTCTATGGGAGGTCTACGGTCTATGGAGGACCTGTACCTTTCAAGAGAAGCAAGTATAGGACAGGTAAATTACAGTGAAGTACCAAAGCTTGTATTAGATGAATAAATTCAACAATCTGCACCTCTCCAAAAATGTTTGCAGAGCTTGAAACCAATACTTAGTTTTTCTAATCCTTGTGATGCTGTTGTCTTCTATATGGGAGAAGTTGTTCTCTCTATCTTTACATGGATTGATTCATTTTAGAATTTTTTAAATTTAGCCTAATCTCTGAAATATTAATATTCCAACTAGTTTTACTTATGTAACATGGATTATCCATGATTTACTGCATAAAAATAGTCTGAGTTGCATTTTGCTCATATGAAAGCTCTCAGACCATATATAAGAGGATCTATAACAAAACCTGTCAATTATTTCTGTTTCCATATTAATAATAAAGCCGACCCAGTTCTGGTCTTTTGAAACTTACATGAAATGTTTTTTAGAGAAACCACTTATTTCCCCTCTGCATACAGTCCCTTTGGACTTTTGTAAGCTCTCAGGTCTAGTCACATGAGCAATTGCATCAGCAACTAACATGTTCAAAAAAAAAAAAAAATCTGCAATTCTGCAGCTTAAAGTGCACTAATGAAATTAGATGTTTTAAAACAATTAAGATTTGAAATCGTTCCTTACCCAATGGACTTTTAAGGTTTTAAAACTCCTTAATTTGATCTACATGTCATTTTAATAATTAGGTGCCATTTGATGGTTGTTGTTTATCATTAAGGGTTGAAAAATATATACTGTTTAATAAATTCTTCCAGTGTCTTTTTTTTTTCTTCTTAAGGCACATCTCTGAGTTCAGTGGATTTTACATCTTATCTCATTAGTATCAGAAGTAAATCTTCACTGGAATATAATTATTATGATTAAAATCATCTGGCAGTGTGATGGTGCACTGTACGTTATTTTCACTTTTAACTTTCAGTCTGTTTCCTTTCTTATGTTACATTTCAGATTAACAATTTCAGTTGGCGTAGGTTCACTGCAATTAGACAAACTAGTACGTAGCTGGCTGTACTGATTTTCAAGTCTTGTAAAAACTACTGACCTTCAAAGGGTATGTATGTGTGTCTCCATAAAAACTTGTGTTATGTATTTAAATATTAATGTATTTATGCAGTAATAATGACTATTGCAGTTTCATTTGGAAGATAACTTGGAGTTCTGAACCCATCATTTCGATCTGCTTTCCTATACTCTGACTATTAGCCGTGAAACTATTTTGAAAACAGAAAAATGCATAAGCTATTCTGTACTTATCTCTGAAATGAGCTACCTCTTAAATTGTTTTTTAATGTAAGTTTGCTATTCTGTTGTTTCACTGAATAAGATGGGTAACTTGCCTAGTAAAAAAAATAATGTATTTGCAAAGAAAGTAATTTTTTCTTCTTTCTCTGTACTAAATGGGAGGAAATTTTTCAGACTTTGTACTTAAAGGTCAGGCACAACCTAAACTCCTTTAAAAAAACAACTGTTATTTAGCCAAAACACTTTAGTTCATCACTGTAATTGATCAGGAATTGAGCATCACATATTCTTGGTGATAAGAAGATATAGTACCTCACTTATAATGGAACAAATAATAGATATGCCAGTCTTTTGAAAGGACATATGATTATCTTCTGTTTTCACACTGGAAATCAAGTGCAACTCATAGCAGTAGACAGAAAGCTGAGATGGAGAAAGGCCTTTAAATGCAGAGAAATTTTTTTTTCAGTTTTTTGAATTATTTTTTTACGATATGCTAGAATTCCTAGATAAACTTTGCATTAACAAAATACACTATCTAGTGTTACTTTTCTAATGACATAAAAATATTCTGAACAGCCTACATAGTAAATATGTGATCTAATTAATATTATAATATCATATATTGAATTTGCCCAAGACCAGATTAATTTCTTTTGGGACTAATAGGTAGAGATACATGTTTTATAGGTATGTTTTTAACTTCAGCAGTGTACAGGAGAGAAATACACCAATAGGAATAATTTTAGAAAGGAATTCCCTGAGGTAACCAGGTTCTGTCTTAGGACAGTAATCTTGAGACTTTTTAAAAACAAACAAACAAACAAACACACACACACAAAAAAAAAAAAAAAAAAAAAAAAAAAACAAACACACACACACAAAAAAAAACCAAAAACAAACAAACAAAAAAAACCACAAAAACAAACAACCAAAAAAAAACAAAACAAAACAAAACAACAAACAAACAAACAAACAAACAAAAAACCACTTTTATATTAGGAAGCCTGTTCTAGTGTTTGACCACCCTTGTGGTAAAGAAATTTTTCCTATTGTCCAGTCTGAACCTACCTTGGAGCTGCTTTGTGGAATTCCCACACATCCTTTCATCAGTCACTGGGGAGCAGAGACCAGCACCTCCCACTCCATTTCACCTCCTCAGGAGATTTCAAAGAGCAGTGTGGTTGTCTTTTGGCCTCCTCTTCTGCAGACTGAACAACCCAACTGTCCTCAGCCTCTTCTCTGCCTCTAACCCTGTTACCAGCACTATAGCCCTCCTCTGGACACTTTCAAGTATCTTAACATCCTTTTTACATTGTAGAGCCCAGAAATGCACACAATATTCAGATGAGACTACAGCAATGCTAAATATAATGGAAGAATCAACATGTTAAAAATTATTTTTATTACAAGTATCATGTTTTTTATCATAGAGTCAATTGCTTCTTATTAGTGGGAAGGTTTTCCTAGTGATACTGTTAGTAACAATTTATAGACAGTTATTTGTAAGGCTGACATCCTGACTTTGCACCTTCCTGATTGCATTGGCCAGTTTGGCAAGGCATTTTGTGTATCCAGCACATCTTTTGTTTTAACTAAACTTTTCTTTGGTTTTATTTTATGTGGGTTTATTTTTACATTCTCTTAACACATTTTTGTATGTAGTGTCCTATTTTTTAATCATAGTTCACTTGCAGCAGCATCATTTTGCAATCATCTTGACATTTGTAATGTCAACTCTGCAGACTTGCATTAACCTCATTTTGCCATCATCTTGATGTACTAACCTGTATATAGACCTGTGCAAAAATAATTTAACATTCATCTGAGTTTGTGCAGTAATGTCTCATTAGACTTGAACTAACGGAATTTTGTCATCATAATTTGCTGTCATAATAACACAGCCTTCACAGATTTAATGTGACAGTCTTTTGCCACTGCAACTAAGGCTTTGAGCAGTTGTCATCCAGGGGGACTTAAGGTGAAATCCATGTAATTAAAACACACACTCTTAATAGTCCTATATTTTAAGCCATTTTTCACATATCTTAAACAATAATTAATCATGCTAAAGTTTAGCACTTGTTTAGCTTGTTTTCTTCATTTTCTACATGGGAAAGAAAAAAACATAGTTGAATGATGAGTGACTGGCAGAGCTGCTAATGGAATTTAGGTCTGCAGATTGTCTCTGTACTCTTGTATCCATTGGACTTCTCTCCTTTATCTGCACAATTAATTTTGTTTGAGATGAATACAAATTTGAAATGTATGTGACAGGCTGTGTTAACTAGTCTGTAACTCTCGTTTTGGAGTGCTACAGAATACTGAGGTGAGAGAGATTAGATTTCTTCTACTGCAAGGGTTGAGATAGGCCAAATGTACTTTGTTACACTTGAAAGAATTTGTTGAACTTTTTCATATAAAATTCCACTAAAGGGGACAACATCCCTGTACATATGTTTTCATGTATGTAAGCGATCTGGTACTCTCACCATTTATCTTAATACCAAATGTAAATTGGCTTTACCCAAATAATGTCCCTCTCCACAGCACATGTGAAAAAAATTACCCTGGAGTGTTGCTATTTTGCATGCTGAAAGGAAGCAGTTATATATCCCGTTGCCTTGCCTTTCCAGACTAAACACATGTCAATCCTTCAGTCTTTTCTCTGCAAAGAAACCTTGACTATTTGGTGTCTGTAATGCTAAGTGCTCTCCTATTTGTCTGTGGCTTTCATAGTGTCATATCAAAATTGTCCATGACTGAACCACTGACTGGAGCAGAGTAAAACTAGGGAAGTACACGATGGGTGAGAGGAGTACTTCTTAAGCAGCTGGAGGCCGAGTTGTGTTTCCCTACAGAAGTCTGTGTTTATGTTAGCAGCAAACACATTTGCTATGCAAAATGACCTTGAGTTGTTCTTGGCATAGCTGATACAGCTTGCCTGCCGACTTAGGTGAATTCTCTGTCTCCTATGCTATGATTGCTGACTCTGGTTCACAATTAACTCTCAGTTCCTTATTGATATTCTTTGCAATCAGCTTGGCATTTGTCCTCTCCTCCTTATGTATTGTATTTGCTTTTGTTCTTTAAATACCCGCTTCTTTTCTGAACTAAATTTGATTTTGTTTGCAGTTGTTTGTTTTTAGCCAGAGGAACTTCTTTGCTTCTTAATGGCAGGTAGGCACCTAGACAATGTTTTCAACATCTTCCAATTATTGTCCATGTTTTTCTGCTTCAATTTTCTCCTTATTGATTAAGGTTTGTAATGTGAAATTGGCTCCTTTTAAAAGATGTATAGAAATGGACATATATATTTTACCAGCACCTGTGTGCACATGGTGCCCTGGTAATGTTCATCCCTGCAAGTGTGCACACAAAATTGGTTAGTATTTCACTATTTACATGCAATGTGAGTAAGAAAGTTATTTGTATTTAGGCAATCACTGCTTGTGGAGTCTGGGATCAGTTCCACTGTAGATACTGATGCTGTATACAGACTTCCCTTGCGGGAGTTGCAACAGCTTTCATGATTGGGTACATTTTACCTGAATTTTGGAGCTACTTTGCAAACATAACTTTATGGAAAGTTTTTTTCTGCCAAGATAGGGGCCCAGGTGCGACATGCTGTCTCACTTCTGGTCCTTGTGCCCAGATTTTCTTCTTGGGTTTTGAGAAGACGGAGAGAAGAGGGGTAGTCTTACCTTGGTTTCTCATATTTGGAAGACACAACCATGGGTGGGTCAACAAAAGAGAAAGGTGAGAGCCAGGCCCTTTCCCCCAGAGGGCACTTTGGAGCAGGAGTCTCTCTGGAGGATCCTCTTTGTAGATTATGTGGGATGCTTATAGTGGTTGAACTGAGTTACATGCCTAACACGCGTAGAGAAAGGGATATTAGTTAATAAGATGTTCTCCCTTCTGGTCATTTGAGCCTCTCTGGAGGATGAAGAACAGATAGGTATAACTAGGTATAACTGAGTAATTTTAATTCTTCTTCATTACTTCAACTCCTACCATCTATCAGTAATTTAAATCTCCTTCTTCTCCTCTTTATACTCTTAATATTAGTGTGTGGTTTTTTGTTTGTTTGTTTGTTTGTTTGTTTGTTTTTAATTTGCTATCTTTTCTTATGGTTTCCTTTTGATGATTCAGTGCATCTCCTGAGCACTCTGGTCCAAGAGGCTCCCGTTTAGACTGATTTCACTTCTGCTGCAGTGAAAGTTTATGAAAGTTGGATGATTTACAGGATTTGAGAATGAAGATCTACCCAATACAAGCTGTTACGTGTATAGGAAATGGAGGCAGCAAATCCTGCCCTGCTAAATCTGCTTGGGACCTTGCCCCGAAGAGAGTTTCCTTAAAAACAGACCAACAACAACAACGAAACAATGCTACTCCATCTTTAGTTGAAGCTTTCCAAAACATGTAGTGATGTTACTTTTCTTAAAACTGGTAAGAAGGGTTTCCAGCTAGATGGTCTCCAAAAAGAGGATGACCCTATTCCAAATCAGCTGCAGCATGAAGGAGATCGATTGCTCGGGAAGAGCATAAAAACTGTTATGAAATAATATGCTGGTCCATATGTTACAGAGCGGTTTCAAACAGAAGTATTTCATGATATAGAAATGTGTAGAGTGGAAACTGGATGGTCTATGACAGCCACTTGCATGTGAAAAGGCTTTGCCTTATACTGCATTATCTTGACTGCTAATTTTCAGGCTATAAAGTGGTTAATATCTGCTACACTGGAAGACAAAACTTACTGCTTTCTTTAGAATTAAAAGCAAGTGCTTTTTTGTTTGTTTGTTTTTGCCTTTCTCTTTCTGTGGTCTGCAAATCAAATAAACATACGGAGAGAAAAAAGAAAAAAAAAATCCTTGCAACCTGTACTAGTAATTTCTACATTTTGAAGTAAAAATAGAATGAAAAATGAAAGTAAGAATTCTGCTTCAGTTACTCATGTTGGAAAGACTTTCTTTTTCTTTTTTTCTTGCTGATTTCACAGGAAAATCAGAAGCTTTGTGTTTACTTCTGTTGTGATAAAGCTGTTGATTTTTTCCCCTCTGTTGCTGACATGCAAGTGATTTTTCTTATTACAGGAAGTGAATAATAAAAAGACTCAGAGCCAATATACCACCAGGGCAAAACCACATGCTGTGCATTAGTGCTTAAAAGATTCCCATCCCACTTTTCTCTTTGCATCAGTCCCAGTCCCTACAGCTAAGCACTTCTTCCCACGCAGATAGATGTGATAGATTTGCAAATACTGGCAAGAGCATAGAGAGATCATATTATGAGCCTAATGGTTGAACTGAGTGACAGACTTGGACTGCTTTATTTTTCATTTTTTTTTAGGTCAGATTTGGCACAAAGTTAAAAACAGGGTGGAATAAAGTTTGAAATGTTTTCTGAAATTATAATCAAAATATTATGTCTTAGGTTTATTCTCTAAGCACTCTGCCTGATGTTGAGTTGTGTTGGCAAACAACATTTGCCATTGGGATGTTTGAGAAGTCATAAGAGGTTTGTAAATCAGTTTCACACGGCATGTTACCTATTTGTTATTTTCTTGTTTGATTTGCTAACAGGAAAAGAGATGCTGTTAGGTGGTATAAATGGCAATATGGTGTGCTTTTGTATTTATTTGTATCATAGCAAATTACAGTGAGATGGAAGATTAGTTACTCTGTGGAGGTTGTTAACATGAAGTTCTTATTTGATTTATTTATGTCTAATTGGGGACCTGTCCTCCCATGTAAATTACTCTGGCTACTGTTTTATTTCTCAAGTCAAGACCATAATTTTCCACTTGTGTCTTTTCTTAACATTCCTGAGTTTTGATGTAGCCCTTTAATATGTTATAGGAGAAGGGGACAACCTGAGAATGGGATTCATATGTCCGGTGTGAGCATTAACCCTTATCTTCAAGTCCTAATCTCTCTCTGGTTTATCCTGCTGAGACGGTAAACTTGGCTGCCAGACTTACATGTTGAAATCCACTTCTTTTCTAGGGTCACACTGATATATGCTGAATCCGATCTCCTAAATGGTGCCTGGACAGACAGTTTATTGTTGGGCCTTGTTTTCAAATTGTTATTGGGTTCTTCTGAATTGTCTCCAGTTTTGCATTACTGTCATGCTCTTACCATTAGAAAAGAGATATTCTCAACTTTATCAGCACTTCTGTTTTGAAAGGACTTCTCAAGCAGCAAAATAAACAGCCTCTGTATGAAGTATTTGTTAATGGATAGCTGAAAATCACCCTACCTCTTTCTGCAAAACAGATGATTTTCTTTCATTTAACCCATTACTGTTTGTGAAAGAGGAAGGCAACGTTAAATTAGAGCTGCAGCTATCATTTGAAAACAAAACAAAACATCTTCATTGTTCTAAATTTTCTAGATTGCCCACCATCCCTGTAACTGAGGCTTGCTCCTATCCCCTCTTGTAGCAAGGGCCTTGCAATCTCTGAGCACTCAGCAGAGGTGCTGCCAGCTGGAGCCTGCTCCTTACAGCATCTAGAGGGAATGGTGAGACAGGCAGCCTCCAGGGAGGCTTCCAGCACTGGATGGGTAACCAGAAATTACCTGACACAGATATACAGCAAGGCTATGGCTTGCTTTCTGTTTTTGAAGAGAGCCAGAGCTTTTAATGCTGGTTCAGAAAACAAAAACAAAACAAAACAAAACTATAAACAAGCAAGGGTGGTGTGTCAAAATCATAAATTCAGTTCCACATTATAGATGGAATATATATGTATACACCATGCTGGCCAGTAGGCCCAGACAGATGCATATAAAATTTCTCAGTAGAGTTGAAGTTTCTGTGTATAAACCGATGCTGAAAGTAGACTTTAATTTTAAAAGCTTCTCAATTTTCTTTACCCCCTAAAAAACAAACAAACAAACAACAACAACAACAAAAAAATACACAAAACCACAGTTAAAAAGACAGTAGGTTTGACCACTGACTTTTGTTATTTCTCTCTATGGCCCAATAAGCCTTGACTCTTTTCCCATTGAATGACAGAGCTTCAGTACCATAAAGGGAAAACATTTCTGGGATGAATGTTTCTGCACTCCTGTGCAGGCCCTGCAGCTCTGAATGACCCCAGCAAGAAGAGAAGAAGCAAACCTGGATTTCCTGCATGTGGTAGGGGATTATTTATTTAGAAAATCTTTCTGAATATTACCACCAATCATTTATTTCAGCCGTGTTTTAGGAGAAAATATCAAGTAGTACTGAATTTCTTGTAGAGCCTGATCAGAGTCTTCTCTGGTGGTCTCAAATACATTACCACTGAAGATTACTATTCCACATTGTTTGTGGGTTATGGATGAAATTAGGTGTAAAACAGATTGCAGAGAGCTCTGTCAAACCTAAGGCCCTCAAGAGTCATACTCGGAAACAGATTTAGGCACCTGAATTTTTTCTATTCAAAGTTTTGAAGAGAAAGTTAGTTACCTTAAAAGATTGAAATTAATAGGAGTCAGGAGGGTCACAATTCCAGCATTAGGGACCTACCTTCAAGATAGCTTTTCCTCTTGGTCCTTACATACATTGCTGAGGCTCAGTTATTAGCAATATGAGTTATCGAGGGTGACCGTAAACATTTTAAAAGAACTTTTGCACAATAAGCAGTTTCTCTCCTGAGTTTCCTCGGTTTCCTTCTCCCTTAAATAATCAAAATGCTGCTGCTGTCACGGAGTGCTCTGCTCTGCTACAGATTATTTTCTACATCGGTTCATGAGTTGCAGTTCTTGTGGACTGCAAATTAATCCGTAGGAGTCTGTTGGCATGTGCTGTACCTCCAGGTTCTCCAGGGTATTAATTTGACTATTGATGTAGAAAATGCCAGTGGCTGTAAAGGTATATTACGCACTTTATTTTTTGTGTTTATTTTTCTGTATAATCCAGGAATTTACTTACAAACATGTAATCACTGTGACTGGATGTTTAGCCTTTAAAGTGGAATAACATATTTTTCAATTTTGGGGGGATAGATTTAAAAAAAAAAAAAATGAAGAAAGTAAAGCACATTATTTTAAATGATTTTTCAAATGAAGCCATGAATTAATAACATAATTCTTTGTGACCCATCTCTACAGGCCGTATGTACTCTACAAAATATATACTCTAGAAAGTAGCCGTATAAAAGTCCGGATTTGTGTGGAGGACACTCAGTCCTGTTCCAAAGAATTATGTGTATGACTGTTTTTAATTTCTCACAGAAACTATGGGTCTGGGACCATGAGAAACCAGAGGCCTGGGACTGATGCAGGGGAGGGTCCCACCTGTCTGGGGCCCAGACGTTTTGGGATTTGGGAGTTAAGGAATGTTCCTGTGCTTCTGTGCACTGTGTTTTCTGCAGCTTGTTCCTGGGCTGTGCCTAGCTACAGTACTTGCATGGTTTAGTTGGGAGTGGAAAGGTGGAAAGGTCAAATATAAGTCATTGGTTTGTTTTGGTTTGTTTTTCTCTGTAAGTAGGTACTGACTTACCACAACCTGTGTTTGTATTTACACAGTTTGGAAAGAACATTTTTCCCCCCCCCCATAACTGTGAGAGTAATTGCAATCCCAAAAGGATAGAGCTGCCACCCCTCTCCTAAATAGGGAGGCTCCTGTCTGGGGATGGGCTAGGGGTCATTTGCTGGGGAGGGGGAAATCTGGCCCATAGGGGGCTCCGGGCAGCTGGGCGAAGGGGTCAAGAAATGTCATCGCCCCACTCTGCCGTGTTAAATGCTAACTGGAAAGCCCTAACACATAATTTAAATCCTTTACACATGCCACCCTGGAAGCAGAGCCTTATATGTAGAGTGCATGGGCTGTCCTATTATGGGAAATCAACTTTGTTTTGAGGGAAGCACAGAGCACTGCTTCTGCGCAGGTCCTGGAATTTGAAACATGTAGGGGCCTCCAAAGAGCAGGGCATGAGTTACGGTGCCGGCTGGGTGGCAGCGAGGATCCCCAGCTTGCCGTGCCCGGCACGGACCCTGCTGGCTGCCAGCTGCATCCCACCGGGGCTCTTGCTGCGTGCTCCCCCACAACCTTGCCGGGGCTTATGCAGGGACGTGTGTGTCATTCTGCGGGGACAAGCCTAATTCAGCGACTGGAGCGGCAAAGTGGGAATATACTTTGCCAAGAAACACTTTGCTGTTGTTTTCCTTTTCCTCTGTTTTGTGGAGAGATTCATGTCTGCTCACGTGCTTTGGTATGAGGAAGTGGAAGATGATTGTAAGTACGAACAGACTGACATGATCTATCCCAATATTTGTCCTGACAGAGCAGCAGAGTGCTACGCAGCCCACTAACAGCATGCATTTTTAAATGTTTGCTTTCAGGGTCTTTTAAAGAAGGAGAGCACCAGGGAGGGGGGGAAATAAAGAGAATTTTGTGGTCTCTGTTAGAGGGTAAAGCCCAGTGCGTTCTATATAAAAGCAGTGTTCCAGAAGCGGTACCCAGCTCTCCTTTGAATAAAAATAATGCATTTCTTCCTGAGGTTGACCACTTATTAAAGCGTGGGGTTTAAAAATAAATAAATAAATAATGAGAAGACAGACCAATATAGCTGGAAAAAAGAAGTGTCATTGTTATAATAATTTGGCAACACATCAAAGGCTTAATCAGTTACTTTGAACTTTAATGGCATATGCAGTTTCAATGCCTCATATTGAGTTAGGCAGTAAGGGATCTCTTCTCTCATCACTGAGCTGTCTGGTAGCAATGGAGAGAGGGGGCGGCAGCCCTGCTCCAAGCGAGCAGCAGCTGATCTCTCCCATGCGCTTCCCAGAAAAGAGCAGGCATGCTTTCCAGACTTGCGCTTGTTTGTTAGTTTAAAGCTATCCTTTATGTGCAGCAAGGAAAAAAAAAAAAAAAAAAAAAAAAAAGATGATGCCAGGAGTAAGAGAATGAAGACAGCCAAGAATAAAAGAATGAGAGAGCATTTTAAAACCCATCTCGCACACTCCCAGACAATCTTTCTTCTTCCTTTCCCACCCAGGCTCCCAAAACAGATTGTGCTGAAAAAAAATCCAAACTGTCAGTATTGTCCAGACTTAATCTGTGGTCCCCACCCCCTGCTTTATAATCTATTTTTGCTCTTCCACTTTCAGCTTAGTCCTCTGTCTGTATAGTAATAGCATTCCTGCTTTTCTGTTATTTTTCTGAAGCCATACACACTGTCTTTTTCCCCAATGACATGGGGTAATGATGGGCTGTGTGGTCACTCTCTTCTGATGAAACTTCCTGAAAATAATGTTAAATTTTGTTGTGTTTGACAAGAAAGAAGCTTAAAACAGAAAATGCCGGCATGCAGGCATGGTTTTATACTATAGTTTACTTTATTTTTTTCAAAATGAAATCAAATTGCATTTTCTTGGGCAGCAAATAAGACTTAAATCAGCTTTGTGCTGCTAGGAGAGGCTCTGCAGTGGACCCTTTACTTGTTCGACACAGTCTGACAGTTCAAGAAGGGATAGAATTATGAGTTCAGCATCATCACATATTAGGAGGCAGATTGATATCATCACATATCAATAATTAGGAGGCAGATCACGTCTGAAAATACTAGGGGTGGGCTTGGGAAGAAGCACTCTCATAGGATTTTCTTCAGTTTTCCTCCTGGTGGGCAAGAGATCACATTCTAGAACCAGTGACGTAGTGTCCAGCCTTTTCTGCCAGTCCTCTTTTGAGAGGAATAAGGAGGATTTGTTATCTTCCTTTTTCCATCTACTGCCTTACCACGAAGGTAGTCACAACATCTGCCCAGCCGCTTGTCCCTAGCCTTGAGGAGTGGGAACTGAGAGGGAAGCTGGGTGGGTGCTTGCTAAGTAAGGGCGAAAGATCTTTGCTGCTTAGCACAGAAGTTATAATTGCACTCTGAAAACATAGTAGGTGAAAGAAAGAAAAAAATAGCTGTGTTAGAGCTTTTGAAAAATATGAATAGCAAACCAGAGTTGCATCTAGCAGCTGAATAGCATTCATGACAAGAGCTATTAAATCACTTGCTAAATTATGTCTAGATATGAGTCTAACTGCTCTCATATCTAGACTGAAAGGGAGCTGTCCTAGCACTTCTTGGGAATTATTTAGCTGAATTGATTTCCTCACCTGTATCCTGAGTCTTCTAAAGGACAAGGCATTCTTTCCTATGTGTTTTGGTATCATGTTGTGAAGGCTTTTTATAGTCACTTTTCATCAAAAAAGGAAAGCCCATATCTGCACTGTTTTACAAATGTATCCAAAATAATCCTCTCAAATTTATCCCCAGCCTTCACTTGAGACGTGTCACTTCTCCCACTTTTTTCTATGCTTGATTTGCTTCTTTCTCAGTATCGGACAAAAACTGTTTGCTCTTAGTGCTGAGAGCAGTCATTTAAACCTCTGATTTTCTTTTTTAAATCCATCCTTTCTCTTTTCTTAATGTCCCCTCTCAAGACCTACATCCATCTCTGCCCTTTTCTTTTCTTCTCTCTCCCCATGCCACAGCAGTAAAGGCAGGTTCTCATTTTCCTGCTTTCTCTCACTTCTGTTGAAGATGACCTTTCACAAAGGTATTTATTCCCTGCCTTGAGCTTTGTTTTCTTTCTTGAGCCATTCAGTGTTTACTGAGTACTTCAGCCAGAGTTAGACTGGAAACTCCTTGGGGCATGGACCATCTTTTCCTAGATTTCTACAGGTTCATTGACAGTGACCCCCAAATAATAAAGTGGCAGGGAAATGAGATACCATAAATTTCATTTGGTTTTAATTAAGATGAGATTACTGTAAACTTTATCTCAAAAGCCACCCTCCCTAGGGTATTCAGTATCATATGCTGTATTTCTTCTTCTGGCAGATATAATCCTCTTTCTGTGTCCTTAGTCTCAAATGGAACCAAATTCTGCTCTCAGTTGCACACACGCATCCTCTTTCTGCTTGGATTTGCACAAAATGGTGACTAAAAATAGAATTAATCATCAAAGCAGGGCAGTGCAGAAAAGAAACTAATCCTGCCTGAAATGTAGTGGCCACAAGGACTGTCTTACCAGTGTTACTGTAGCAGGGGTCCATATAGATTTGGGTTTTAGCTCAGGTCAGGAGTTCATTCCTGAAGAGAATTCCCTGATGCCCCTGCTTATTGCTGTGTGTTGGTTGCTATCCCAGACTGCACGCACTGCATCCCTTTGGGAGGAAGCCAAACTGAGGGATGCTCTCTGAGAGCTTGTTTGATGTGCACTAACACAGCTGCTCCAGAATGATCCTGGCGAGGCATACACACATCAGGTGCTTCACCTTGCCTAACTAGCATATGTCCTTAGATTGTGGATGTGAGGAAAGAACTGATGGTGAAGCCTGTCCCCCTTACTCTCCTGTTGGCTCCAGTCCAGAGCCTGCCCCTCACCCCCGGACCCCAGTCTGCCCTAGAGCATCGCAGCCAGACCCTGCATACTCCAGGGCCACTCTCTGGGAGGGAACTGCAACCAGGAAGCAGGAGTCCAGCAGCACGGTGCATGTGAAACTTGTGATCTTGTGACAATGCCCCCCCTTTTTACTTTTATTTTTTTTTTAAGTAAAAAGATTAGTTTATGTTACTAGTAGAATATAGTTTACTGTATAGTTATTGACCAGATAGAGTTATTTATAAGCGAAAAGGTAAAATATTTGGAGAGGGGGAGAGGAGAAAGATTAACCCTTAACTAATAGTGTGAAATTATTTTAACCTCAGATTTACTCAAGAAGGTAAGCATTTTTACATGATTGCCAGAGGGAACAGGATTAAGCTCATATGTATTTGTCATGGATTACTGATAGACAAAATCACATTCAACTGGATTGTGAACCAAGCAGCCTTGATTTGAAAAGGCTGACTTGTTGATTTTCACAGTACATTTTCAATTAAATGTTACCCCAAAGCTTAATCATCATTTAGCAGGATAACCATTGTACTGTTATAGCTAACCATTGAAAAGGCCTCCAATAAATTTAGCAGAACTTTATAGTATCACAGTGCTGTCGAGGAGAGTGCACTTGCAATAATACCGTATCACTGTCAGGGGATGCAGAACAGCACCAGAAATTTTAAATAATTGTGCCTTATCAAAGACTGAGCTTTATTTCTGCTTTATGGAAAGCAGAAATAATGGTTAGCAGACTGTGGCTTTGCAGAGAGGCTTGCCAGCTGGGCTGCGCCGGAGAATGCACTCGTTTGTCTTCTCAGGAAAAGATGTGGAGCAGAGATGTTTGTTTTAGTTCATGGTACTCACTGCAGGTACCACAAAGCCTTGCACTCTGGGTTACTTGCTGCATGTGCAACAAGTTGGAAAAAAAAATAAAAAAATAAAAAAATGATGTGCTTTGAAAGACAGATACACTGAGTTTTAAGAGAGTCATAATCTTCCTTGGTTCTGTTTGCAAGTCCTATTTCAATCTATGTTTGTCATTTAGAGCAGGAGGCTGATAATTTCTGGGAGGTTTTTTGTTCCTTTCTCTCTCTGTGTTTTGTAAATAGTCTATATTTATAAGATTATTTTTTATCATTTGCAGTCTTTTATTCCTAAAGGCAAAATAATGTTTGTAAATAGTGCGAGCATGTGTAGAAGAAATACTCTTATTCAAGCAAAAGGGTATGTTCTTGTAATTTTGATTAAATACTTTCAAGACAATGATTAAGATAGCACATTTCTTAGAAGAATTTTAAAAGGGTCATCATCTACAACTAATAAATTAGCATGATACAAGTCAAAAATTATAGTTGTAAAAGCTTCCTCATAGAAGACATTGCAAAAGTATGTAAGTCTTAAGGATGGTTTCTTTTCTGTAGTATTTTGCTATGTTTTATACTTGGGAATTCCTTTTTAAATAAAATAAAATAAAAAAAAAAAAAAAAAAGGAGAAAGAATAACATCTGCTGTTTGCAGCCTGAAACTCTGTGATGCATACAGATATGATATAAATGAGGATTCAAACCAAACCATTTTGCTTACCCTGCCTTTACTAAAAGACCCCAGGAGATCCCCAGGGACATAGTGGGATCATGAACACTGTGGAACAAGAGCACATCGTTTGAGTCAGTGTCAGTCGGGCTCATCAAACCCTCTGCGCCTGCTTCTTTCAACCACTTTATTTCTCTGGCTGTCTGAGTTAGGTCTGAGAAAGCTGTGGGTCTCTTCCCCTTCAAAAGTGTCCCTGTAAAAATTGCGAACCAAGTATCTGATATACTTTATATAAACTTGAAAAGAAGGAGGGCTGGCATT